TAACCAACATTGTTAACAGTACCTCTTAATAGAAATTTAAAATCAGTGAACCAGTACGTAATGACAATAACATAAGTTACCAGTCCGAGGAGGAATTCCAGTTGACGAGTATCTTACATATGTCTGCTTATGTAAATACTTAAAAGAAAAGCATATTTAAGCTAATTAACTTGTGGAACGCAGCAGTGAATTCACTGACCTTTACTGGAATAGTGGAAAGTCTATACCAAATTATCTTATAAGTAGGTTAAGAATAGTGTACGTACTCATAACCTTGTCCGAGAATCGAACTCAAAACTTTCAGTTTAAATGATGAGCCCACTGTTTATCCAGCTAATGGGATGGAATCCAATGGCTCATCGCTCCACTGCCAGATGACGTCATTGACGAGTATTTTGAAGACCCTATAGTCCACGATTTCTCACTTGAATTTCAGGCAACTTTGTTTTGTAGTAAGTCACCAGTGAGCAATAAATTAATTCTAATGTGTTGGTTTGGACAGACGCGCTATATTTGACGAACCTCCAGACTTTAGAATTAGCGGGGTCGTTGAATTTTATCCGAGTGACTGAATGGTCAACCAGCTCACCTCATAGCCTGAAAGTCTTGTGTTCGACCGTTGATGAGATCATAAGTGAGTGCTGTCCAACACTCTCTCGTTATCAATGGTTCTTTAATTGATATCAGTCTTTCATGTCAGTTGAAACAGGTCAAATCTTTCGAAACCAACATTCGAAGGTTAAAATCAGTAAGATGAATCATTCCAATGATGACTACCGAGTGGTTAGTAATATCTTCAGATATAACTCAAACAAACAGAGTTCATAGAATAATATGAGCAGTGTACTGCTATAAGTATGATAGATTTTTAAATAAGTATTAATTTCCATACATATATACAATACAGTTCAAAAGTTGATAAAACCCACGTGTCTTAAAACTCTTACTTATAACGACTTTGAAACCTAATTTTTCAGATAGTTTGAGCTAAAAAGCGAACTTTATAATGTTTATTCTATAGATGATATAAATTTCAGTTTAATGATATTAGATAGTTGGAGGCAATCGGCAGGAAGCCTTTAAACTTTATCTCCTACCCAATATAAAAATGATATATCTCTAGAATTAATCTTATTGCTGGTGTGGAAATCTGCTGCACTCAGTGTTAACAACAAGACTCGGTTTTTCAACACTAGTGTCAAGTCAGTTAGTGCTTCTTTATGGTTGAAAGACTTGGCTTATTACCAAAAGTATTTCCAAAAGTCTGTAAACTTTCGTCAACAACTGCCTTTGCCATATACTAAACATCAAATGGCTAGAAAAGATAAGAAACAAGAAACTCGAGTAATGAATCAACTAAAAACCTATAGACCGACAAATATGCCGAAGGAGATTAAAATGGATCGGACACACGCTAAGGAAACCACTGAATGACATCACACGGCAGGCCTTCGACTGGAAGCCGATTGAGAAGCAGCGAGTTGGGTGTTTGAGGGTGGCATGTGAGAGATCATGTGATCAGGAGATGAAAGCTTACAGGAAGTCATAGAGTTAGCTAGATAAGAGTGAAGAGAATGAAGTGAAATAGAAATATAATAGGAATAGAAACTGCTAAAGCTTTATGTCCCAATTGGATGCCAAGGGAACAGTAACAGTGTTTTTTATTTGAGATTTCTGTTTATTCTTCTATTTTAAATTACCATGTGTGTTACGTAATTTCGTCATGATTATTCGTTATATTTTGACCATTGACCTAAAACACTTCTGTGACTGCCCCGACCTTTTGTTAAATATAAATTTACCAATGTACAGCGCAGTTGATGAATGCGTCGAAAAGAAAATTTCTCTTTACCACAACAATCGTCATGCTTAAGCAAGTTTATCAGAAGATAATTAATTATCTTACTACAACTCCTTAAGCCTACCGAGATAAACTCAAGTAATTCATTATTCTTCTTCTTCAAAGAATAACACCAGTACCTTCTCCATAACTACAGTACTGAGTGAGCCGTGTTTGAATCTCAGGAGGGACATGAATCACTTCAAGGCAGCAGATACGCCTTGCCACATGGTGAGTGCTAATAATAACTAGAACTTTGTCAAAGGCATCCTGCCGATCGCTTTTGTGTGTGTCAATGGTTCTATGGTAGAATACTCGCCATGTGGTCACGTCACATGTGGTTCAGTACTCGATCCTTAGCCAAAGCACTTCTAGGCTATGCTTAGCCAACAGAAAGCCTGGTTAATGGGGAAGGTTAAGAAGAATAACACCACATCTACTGAAACTTCAAAGCTTAAATAAACTTGATGCCATATGTTCTACGAGAAACGCAAAGGAGTAAAATAAAATAAATAATAACTCTTTGAATAATCTTATTTTTAGAAACAAAGAAGGAAATATACTGAAATATGGAGAAAAAAACAATTTTATGCATGAGTTAGTTTGTAACTAAATTTAGTGACTATAAGTATGACAGGAAATAATTAAAATTAAATGCTAATTGCATTTAATATTTATGATATGTGTGTCTATAGCAAATATAAGATTTCTTCATCTAAAGGAAGCCATTTTTTGTTTGAATACACGCGTTATCATTTCCTCTGTTATAAAGTAGCCATTATTATGTCTATCTTTACATATAATTCACTTCACATCTTTCCTCAGAAGGCTACATGTAGGTAGAAACAGCATTCTGATAATAATGCGATATAAGCATATCAAAGGTATGATAATAAGCAAAATAACTGAACAATTATAGATAAATGACGCCTTCCAAGGTATCCTTTTACATACTTAAGTGTATGCATAAGCTAGAAAACTACTAAAGACCACAGAGTACTGGACAGCCGTTTCATCCTAGTTTGGGACTCTTCATCAGTACGCATCCACCACAGGGCTCCCAACCCAGGACCTACCAGTAACCACGCAAGCCATTAACTGCTACGATGTGACCTAATGGTCCATGAGTGTCAACTTCTGCCAGTTCCTAACATTTAACTGGAAAGTCCTGCGTCTAAATCCCGGTAGGTGCGTAGTGTGAAGAGTCCTAAACTAGGAAGAAACAGTTGTCCATTACTAGCAGGTATTCCAATAGTTCTCTAACTCATGTCAACTCGTGATCAATCTCGTAATCAATAAAATCGCTGCGAAGCAACACTTGATACATGTAACAAGGGTGACTCAGTACAACTATCAACAACTTGGAATATAATTCCTAATACAAAAACATGAATGAACGTGGAATATAACTTAAATACAAAAAAAAAAACATGAATAATCAAAAGTAATGAACTATATGTATGAGTAAAAATCATAAATGTGTGAATCAAACAATTCCAACAGTGGTGTGAACACGGGCAGTAATTTTGCTCGAAATATTACCAATAACAAAACTTATCATTGTGTGTAAACTATTAAAATATGATTATACTTTATTTGATCTAATCCACAATGCTCAAACTTTTTACTGATATTATACATACATATTGCATGGAGGATTTCATCATGAGCTGACATCAGTTAGAGGACCACTGGAAAATCTGGGAGTACTGGACAACTTTCATCCTAGTTTGGGACTCTTCAGCAGTACGTGCCCACCGGGATTCGAACCCAGGACCTTCTAGTTACAAGGCGAGCTCGTAGACCATTGAGCCACTGGGACCGGATCCAATGGTCCTTGAACTCTAACTTCTGCCAATTTACGACATAGTGCGACCATTTCGCAATGTCTTCTTAGATGAGTTACTGCCTCATCTTCAACCTGCTGTACCCTACTGGTCACGGCTTCCCACTAGAACCCCAGGTTAACCTGGGTTCGAATCCCAGTGGGCGCGTACTGATGAAGAGTCCAGAACTAGGACGAAACAGCTGTCAAGTACTCCCACGTTTTCTAGTGGTTCTCTAACTGATGTCAGCTCATGATGAAATCCTCCATGCAATTAAACAAAATCCCTACCAAACCAATACTTGAAAAAAATATATATATATACATATAGGAAATAAGCAGTTAACCTTGATTCCCTTAACTCCCTAAATAAAATCATTATTAAATAAAAATAATACATTTTGACATAAACAATGAACTTCTATGTGAAATTTGTCTGTTGAGAGTAAAACGAACACTGGATAATAACAATAAAAGCTGATAGGTAGGTATCTGTAAAAGTAAACTTATCTTTGTACACTTACCCTTTTTTCAGTCTAACTATATACAACAACATCTAGCCTTTACTATAAATACCTATGTGTATTTCAAAAAAAAAATATTCCTTAGAATATTTCTCTCCCATCTCTTTTTCTACCAATTACTATTGACTTTTCTGGTTTCTAGGATATACTGATACCTTAAGACCAAAATATTAAGAGGGAACAAAAGTTTAAATATATTCCCATTGAGATAATTTTAGAACATAACTTAAGTCAGTTAATAAGTATTTTCGGTTAAACTCTTAACAGGCTTTACAATTACACAATAAAATATCTATCAATTGTAAGCCCACCATCACTTTCTTGGGCATTGTTCACTGTGGTTAGGTAAAAGAGCTACAGAGTCAGTCAGAAATTCCATATTGGTACATCTTGTAGATATACAGCAGAAGAGTGACAGAAATTTAGTCTTTACAATTCTATACGAGATAACACCTCCGTTCCCTAGGTTCATACGCCTTTAATTATTAAGCAGAGCTGAGGTAGTTACCATAGAAAGTTTTCAACTTAATCTCTGTGTTCAGAAAGAGTTTGTTCAGTCCCTCCCTCCCATTGTATTCAACTCCAACCTAGAAAAGGTGTCTCACTCGATAACCGTACATATTTTATTTTTATTTTCACTGCTAACGTCATTATAAATATGATACTCTGCTTTAGTTGCACTTTTTTCTGTTTACTTAAATGGTAACTTCTAAAGTGACAGTAGTGCTAATAAGAATTCAAAAAGCAGGGTTTCTTAAGCGTAGAGGAATTAATTAATCACTGACAAAAAGAGAAAAAAAGCCCAACTTACAACTGATCCAACGTATAACAGATGGTATGATTTATAATTAATAGATGAAGCAGTCTTATTATGCTCGCCTTGATTTCCCCATTCTGTTAATTGAAACGAAACAAAAAAGAAGAAGAAATACATACAATAGGCTTATGGTCAAAGAAGAATAGGGGTATTTGTAAAGTACAGTGTAAAATGTCATCTTGTATGTCTATTATTTATTTCTCGCCACTGCTACTATGGCGAGTGCTACTGATAAGATTTATCAGTAGTATATAAAGAGATGTTCATTGGCATGGAAATATCAAATAGCAGGGAGAAGCGTTTGATTTCAGAGAAGGCAAATGGTACAGCGTTGTGGAGATACAGGGGAGATGTGAAAAAAACACAGAGAAACTCAATATTAAAGAAAGCCAGAAGTACCACAACACGGGGGATCTGTGCAAATGGTGCTTTGAAGATTAGGTGTACATAATTTCGCTACATAGATATACCAATTTAGAAATAGACATTTCTTTACCATGTATTGGTCTTCTGTCGTATCACTATAAACTTGAGCTCTGAATTTCCAGTAGATGTGGCGTTATTCATCCTAACGTGTTGAAGTTACTAGCCTCAAGTCGAACCTTCCCTCGTAACCGGGCTTACAAACGACTAAGTGAGGCTTAGGAGTGTGTCAGTCAAAGGTTGAACCCCAGACCACATGTGACGTGGTTGGTGAGTATTCTACCACTGAACCACCGATGTATATCATGCAATGACAGGTCAAATGCCAAAAGTTATTTTTCTGTAACTTCAACAACAATAATAGTTGTTCATAAAGAAATTAAATAAACTATTGAACGAATTAATACATCTGAACACTGATATTAGTCCTTAAAACAAAAATCAAAAGTTTCCTTTAAAAAATATGAGTTTGACAAATCTGACAACTGAATACAACCAGTAGAAATGTAAATATTCAATTGTAATTTATAATATTCTGTAAACTGATGATTCAGTGGTAAGATGATTGCCAGCTACACAGGAGTTCCAAGTTCGATTCCTAGCCAATGCAATTAATTAAACCCAACTGGTTTACTTACTTGTGGGTAGTAATCACACAAAAGAGGGATAGTTGGGGGGTGTAAGGGTAAAGTCTAACAACGCCAACCTGTAGAAACAACATCACTTCTACTGAAACTTTAAACCTTGAAGACTTATATTTCAGTCTTTCTTTGCCCTGGTAACTAAATATTTATCATCTCTCTTTCATCCGAATGCGAAGTGCTGAAAAGTTTTCATTGTGTATGATTATTATTGTTCGGAAAAGTGTTTAATATTACATATATATATGTATATATTATTACTGTATGCATATATTGATCGATTGATTGATTTTTGTTTAAAATGAACTCTGTGCAAGTATGTTAAATTGTTTTTGTAGATACATTTAATAATGTCTTTGGCCTGTTAGCAGCTGACGAGAAGGCAACGAAATAAAAGATAGTATCATTTTATTCTGCTAAAACTGCAGTTCTTGCTTTGTTCAAATTCATTAAGGGGAATAAATGTATGAAACTTATATTTCACTTGATAGACAAAACAGTGAAGTACAACGCGCAAGGTAGAAAGTTATGTCAACAACCTGAACAATAATATCCATTAAAATATAAGACAGTTAAGCTATAGAGTTAAACTGCATTAAGAAAAAGGGAAATCTAATTAGTTAAACTACTCGTTTCTAGCATCAAAAGCCTTTTATCAAACAAAGGTAAGCAACATGCTTTAACTAATTTTCTTAAATAATTCAAGTGATGGATAGAATTTCATTTCCCTTCCCCTCTGAACTAAAAATCAATAGATATGATAGCATCTAAATAGTTTAACTTTTATTATTTATCTCTAGCCTTTAATTCATTTTACTTAAAATCTATCAGTGAGGATTATAATAATTCAACGCATCATATGATATTAATAATGCTTAAAAACTGTCTAGTAATTTATAACTTGTGCAGAAGTAAAAATGATTTCGGCGAATATATGCAGACCTCTTTAAAACGATTAGGGTGAAAAGAAATGCTCTCGTATATTACACTTATATAATATCAATGTATGAGAAACAGTCCATAACAATTTTGTCCGTAAGTCTGAACCTCCCAAGGAATAAAAATTTCACTGTTTGAGATGCCGGGAATGTTAACATCTTAACAGTCGGAGAATTTTTTTCGTGAACATGGGCAAAACAGGTAAAATTGCGGACAGTTTTCTGTTCAAAACTGGATAGAGTAGGAAAAAGTGGGCTATTTTTGGAAATTAAATTGGTAATGTGAGAAAAAGTTGGATACAAGGTCAAAGACGTAGGTAAAATGGATAGAAGTGGGGAATAAAACTTTTTTTAATGGAAATGGGAAAAAGTCGGTAAAATGAGAAAAGTGGGTATTTTATGTTGTATTTCACCTACTTTTTACCGACATCTCAACTGTTCCAAATTGCTTATTTTTTCCACGTTTCTCCCCCCCACACACACTCCCACTTTACCTATGTGCATTTTCCACCTGGGGAAACATTGTATGCATGGTCAAAAATTGATCACAGTTAAGTTGAGAAATCTATTCCTTACCATCTTACTGAGATTCTACTAGTTAAACAGTACGTCAGTCTACTTTACTGTGAGTTGAAATGGGTTATATTACTAATATAAGGCAAACAGTATTCGACATACTATTTAAACTAATTATATATGTATTTGCGTCGGTGGCACAGCGGTAGAGTGCTCGCCGACTACGCAGATGGTCCGAGGTTGATCCTCGGCTGATGCACTTACTTACCTCGGTAAATCAGTAATAAGACTGGTAAAGAGGGAAGGTTGTGCATAAGGCTAGCAACCCCATCCCGTAAAAATAAATACCACTGCTACAGAAACTTCAAGCCTCTAGCTTGAAGCCCTATCTCCCACTGAGAACGTAAAGGCATATATATATTGCGATAACTGTCTCTACAGTCCAGTTTTTTCATTATCTTATACATATTTGACTAGCTTAAAATTATACCAGATACCGCCAGCTAATTGCTGTCTTTAAATCCAGAAATCTAAATAATCCCATTATGCTGTATTTAGTTTTTCTGCCACATCGCTTACCTACTTATTTTGTGACACATATATCCATACATAATTCTATTTACGTAGCCGTAGGGAATAATAAGAGTAGTGTTTCTTTAATTTATTAAGTTCAGTGAGTTTTGAAATACGTCATCAATAATTTAGTCTAGACTAGATTATCTCCATGGAAAATATTCCCAAAAAATGAGTAGAGAAATAAATGAATAAAATATTGAGAAAATTCATCAGATAATCGAATAACAAATGAATGTGATAAATCTTTAGGATAAATTTTACCGCATATATCTAATATGAAATAAACTTAATATACTCACTGTCTTTAATTTCGATTAAAATAAGATAATAAAGTAGCCAATAGTGCTACGATAAATGAGATAGAAAAAATTATTTCCAGAAAAGTAATATAAAGCAACCTTATGACTATAAAGTAATAAATATTGTAACGACATCTACGTCATGAAAACATTTCAGTTCGTTAGTACTAAAAACTAATTGCTTAATATTAAATTTCCATTAAGAGAGCATAGAATAGAAGTCAAATCTCAACCTCGACTTTGAAAAGGCCTTCAAGACTATGGAGTTTCAGAAATCTTTATCGACCACATTCAATAGCTATGTGACAATGCCACATATCAAATGATCCACAACGGAAAGTTCAGAGATGCCTTAGAAGTGAAGATAGGAGTAAAACAAAGCTGCTTTCTACTATCACCGACGATATTCTTAATTGTCGTGACTGGGTTATGCTTCACAAGGTGGGTGGGAAGGGAGAAGAAAGGAACACGGTGGACCGATAGCAAGACCCTACAAGATCTCGACTTCGCAAACGATTGGTGTTTAATGTCATATAAACTCTAAAACTTACAGACGAAAACCAACAAGTTGACAAAACAGAAAGGCAGTAAAGACAGGACTTCAAGTAACCATAGAGAAAACAGAAGTGATGAAGATAACCAACCAACAACAACAAGCACCAATCACTATCAGCGGATGAGATTCGGATTTTCAGTGCTAATATTAAGTCACTTCTTCTATACGGGTCAGAAACTTGTCGCGTCATGAAAAGCATTTCCACCTGGCTTCAGACTTTTATCAACGGTTACCTTCATTACATAGCAAAGACTGGATGGCCAGGAGGAATAAGAAACAAGAAACTCTGGAAGCAAACCGGTCAAGAATCTAGTGATCAACAAGTATAGTGAAGAAAATGTAGATGGATCGAAAACACACTGAGAAGACAGATGGATGACATTGAGCTCTAGGCCATTGCTCGAATGGAACTTGAATTGAAAACGGCGAGTTGGTCGTCCGAGAATGACATAGAGGAGATAATGTGACGAGGAGATGGGAGACTATAGGCAATTGTAGGCCTAGATAAAGAGGACTGCAGAAAACAGGATGAAATGGAGATGTGTTGCTGAAGCCCTGTGTTCCAGTGGCAACCCAGGGGAATAATAATAAGAATTATGTAAGACTTAGTGTTTACTCGTAATGAAGTAATCGATAAATGAATTTTATGCAACAGATGGAATTTGAATCAACGAACTGCACGACGCTGGGTAGACTGAGCTAGGCGACTCAGACCAGTAATCTGGAGGGGAACGCTAGTTCGAATCCTGTCATAGCCTCAATCTTTACTACACTTGAAATCATCAACCAAACTAAGGCTATTATCTCAGGTAGTCTCATCATCAAAGTATTTGGCACTAATAACCAACAGAATATATTCTTACATAATAACATCCTCACAACATTAGTATTAGTGACTCATTAAGTAATTCTCTCAGATATACACAAAACTTTAAATACTAAAATCGTTTGTCTGTGCCCGGTATACTTCTAAGCTAATCAGATACGCATATGAGAACGAAAGGACTGGATTTTGGAAACAACTATCCCTGTTCACTTAGTTGCCAGATACTATTAGTTTAGTAGTAATATAATCTACTTTAGCTTACAGTAAAATAGAAGGGCGTACGTACGTAGCAATGTTATGAT